TTTTTTAAGACAATAAAACACTGCTTATTGCTGTCAAAATAAATGCTTTAATGTCAAGCCTTTAAGTCCAGCTATAATGATATGTAACACATGTGAGGGGATGCAAGTGGCTGCAAAGAAGAGGCTAGCATTATGCAAGGTGGTCGGGCCACTTGTGTGTTTCCAAACTGGCACTAAAACCTATGATAGGGCTCAAAATTACCAATTCAGCGCTCCATTTTAATGTAATACACTAAGCGCAGTCCCCGGTCACGTCCGTTTGTCCCAGTTCCTGCAAATGCAGCTACTTTATCTGATTTTGGCCCCGCTCGCTCCCCTTTCTCCTTTACATAAAGATGTCGCACAAATGGAAATTATTGAGTGGTAATTTTTTCAATTTATGCGCGCAAATCAAGGTCATAAGCCGAGCCAGGCGGCGTGTGAACGTTGCTCTTACTTGACGCAATATGCTGCAGACGTTTACGGATCAATATGAGCCAGAACAATAATCCCATAACAATCTATTAATTTTCAGTAATGGGGCCATGTTGCGCGTGCACAGTAGTTGCACGTCAATACTTCTATGATCTGACGATATTTGAATGAACCCTTTGTCTCACGATGAGGTCATCATATAGAGTTTAGAGCTGACTGATTCATTTCCAATAACTGTGTTAGCCTGCAAATGGAAGCGGAAAATGGCCTTTGATGAAAAGGTTGTTGTGATGTAGGAAAACGCTTCTCTGAGCTGGATTTTGAAATTCAAAAATATTCTTTATGGTAATGTTTTCAGTGTTTGGGGAATGCAAATACACCACAGAGTAGTCTTTTATTAGATTTGCCAGCCACTCTACTGCAGGCTAAAACTGCAGAGGCTCCTAAAACTGTCTTCAAACTGTGAGGCTAGAAGCAATTTGTCTTCCCGCGCCTCAGACACTATGAATACACCACAGCGAATGAAGCCTTGCTGAGAGATCGTGTTTTAATTAAATGGACTGTGAAAAAGCAGGCCGTAGTTTCTGTATGTCGTTTCTGGATCCTGCATCAGATCCACCTGATCCCTAATCACAGTCTAGAGGTGGATTCTGCTCAGATTCATTAGAAAGAGAATAGAATCACGTCGACATAAAATATTGTATCCTATTTCTTGTCTAAACCAGGATTTATTTTTGCAGTAAATTATTATCAGTTATCGTTGCTATTTACGGCCTGACTGGTGCTCAACTAAACAGAGGATGACGAGTGTTGCCTGCCTCTTTTCATAGCCTCCTCCCCCAGGTCGGTGTTGCTTTCGCATAAATTCTTATAGTTACGTTCATATTTATTATTATTATTATTATTATTATTATTATTATTATTATTATTATTATTATTA